TGCACCGTTGACGAGAGCTCCCTCTGCCAGAGCAGCGGTGATTGACGAAGGCCATAAAGTGCCTTGTTCAAGCGGAGGAGTTTTCCAACCTCGCGGTGTCCTGGCGGCATGCGCATGAGGACCTCCCCGTCGATCTTGGCGTTCACGAAGGCGTTGACAGCGTCGAATTGCGTGAGCTCCAGGTCGAATCTTGCGGCAATGGCGATGAGCGTGCGGAATAATCGTGCTGCGAGCGTGGCAGCGTAATTGCTTTTCTTCGAAGTCCTTCGGCTGTTGGTCTCCTCGAACCACCACTCTTGCTTTCGTCTTCAGGAACTCGCCCTTCCTGTTGAACTTGTACACGTAGACCCAACGACAGTCGAGGACTTTCGTCTTGCGGCCTCCCGGACCTCTGTCGTTGATCACGGTCCACGAGTCCATCTCCTTGTGACTTTGAAGGTGTTCGAATTCGGCTTGCAGGAAGAGATCTCCCATGACATGGTCAGCCAAGTCTTCATGACGTTCTGGGGGAGGCGGTATTTCGCTCTGTTTGATGGGAATCTTATCCCGAATTTCCTGAGTAATCTCCTCCTGGGAGAGCTTCTTTGCTTGCGGGGCTGTATCCTTCTGGACACGTTTCGCCTTCCGCATCTTGCGTTTCACTGCCACCTTGGTTGGTGGACTTGGTTTTGTTTGCCAATGTGACTTGCCCTGACACCGTACCTGTGTGGAAGGAAGCCCGCCACGTGTCAGTATGATGTAAGGGTTTGTCTGGCCACCACAAGGGTGTCTTTTCATCCTTCCTGCCGAACATTGCGGCCGCCAGCATTGCCGCAGGGGGCGATTGTGATGGCGTAGGGAAGGGTTCGAATCTTGCCTCCGTATAGACCTTCTCGGCTCCGGATGACGTCTCTCCACTTCCGGAAGGGTTTCCGCCTGTGTTCATCACAGGGGTTATTTCAGTTGGAGCTTCTTCCGTTGCCATGCGGGCGTCCCCGTTAAACAACTGCTCCCCAATGGAGTGCCTGGCCAGTGCTCATCGGTCATTTGACTGTCTGCACTTGTGTGGCGGGAGTCACCCGTAATTTGACTGTCTGCACTTGCGTGGCGGGAGTCACCCGTAAAATCGTCATCAGACGAACCATCCTCCGCGTCTCTGACATCGTCAGGACTTTCTTGCGGCAGCTGGCGGTGTTCATCACCCCTGCTTTGCGAGAGATCAAGTCTCTGCAGTAATTGATGGATTTCTTCAATGCTCATGTGGAGAGCGTCCCTCTGTATGTCCTCAATCGACCCTGTGAACACCTCGTCTTCGTTTGAAGGTCACGTCTCGGGCTCGGATGATTTGGTAGCGAGGGTCAGCTTTTGGATTCCAAATTTTGTACACGTTCGTTGACGTGTATCCCAGCAGGTACCCGAGCCATGCTCGTGGGTTGAACCGCTGTAACTTCTCA